AGCGCTGGGCTACGAGGACGTGGAAGATAGATACTCCAGCGACGTCACTTTTTGCGACCGCATCCACGGTGAGGGGAAGGACCTGCAGGACTGCATATTTGACGATATGTTCGCATATGGCAACCTCCCCGATCCCCCAAGGACCAAAGCTCAGATCTCGGCTGGCGTCGCCGCCAATGCCCAAAATGAGAACTGCTTATCTAAGTTGATTTTCATGTCTCAGCCTCGTGGCGTTGATGGCTTCCCAGTTGAGTTCCGCAAAACATGGAAGAAGGTCTGGGGTTTCATGTTTGGCCGCCACATTTTTACAGAGGATGAATATGTCAGCTACATCGGCCGTCGTGGCGCATTCCGTGGCCTGTTGACCTGGAAGGGTACTGTCCAAGTCCCTTTTGATGGCACTCGTGATTTCCTCGAAAAGGTGTATGAGGAAAACCTTCCCTTGGTTCGGAGCAATCTTGAACGCAAAGAGAAGCAGAGCGCCGCTGCAAAGGCTGGAGGTCCTGGAGGTCATAAGGCCGACCCCACGGTCGCGCCCACCACTGAGCGAAAGCGCAAAGCCGAAGCTGATGCATCCGCAACCGCACCAGATGTCACAGCCGCCTCAAGCTCTGCTCGCGCAGATGCCTCGCACGCTGATGCCCCAGTTGACCCCAACAACGCACCATTTCTGGTACCTGAACCACCAACATCCAAAGCAGGAGCACGACCATTCTTGGAGCCTGAGACACCGCCCACTGCAAAAGCAGCAACCGCAGGAGTCACTTCGAAGGCTGCAAGCTCCGGTCGCCCGGATGCCTCTTGGAGTTGGAATCGTGATCACTATGGTGCACGCCGAGAATGGAGTTTCTGGCGTGGGGCTTGGTATTACCGTGACGAGGCCGGCGGCCGTTGGATCTTTTGGAACCGTTAAGGGAGACGATGATTTTCTTTTGTAGCATAGCGCAAGATGTGGCATGGTATTGTGCCTTCCTTGCAACGCTGCGCTGGGTTTTACGGGCTTGAGCTTTTTAGAGGGACCTTTGAAAGACTGCACAAAATGTCTAAAACCAACTAAAGAAATTCGGCTACCCGTGAGGGTATGCTTTTCTGGGTTATTCGTTCTCCGCAGTCGTCCCTGCTCGCCCGAGGGGGGTGTAAAAACTCCTGCAGTAAAACCATGTATTGTATATATCATCGATCTGCCCGATAGCGTTGGTTCAAAACAGTGCCAGCAGCTTAGCGGTTACTTGCCCCCATTGTTATTGTAACATATTGGTGGCTGACCTTGTAAAATACAGATTCTTTCGCCTGTTCGCCTTGTGTCTCCCACTTCATTTGTCCCCACTAGAGGCGCAATATTTCTATATGCAAACACATCTAAATAATAAGGAAAACACGTCCAGAGCACCAGGGGTCAAAAAGCAGACTAGGGGTCAACAAAAACATGGTGCCCGCGTTGGAGCAAACATCTTCACAATATTGGCTGATAGCCTGATTCCTAACAGGCCTTTAAAATTATCAGCCATTCACACCTGATAATGTTGGCTGATTCAAATAATCAGCTACAGTAATAACGTGATTATCCATTTCGAGAAAAGCTCAGACGTTCAATTTCCTCAATTTCGTAACGCATCATCCCAGCTGCCGAGGCGAATCTCTTGAAGCCGGCGCTGGCACGAGGGGAGCTGCGATGCATAGGTGCCTTGGGTCAGGGGCCCCCCAAAGCACAAGTAGGGTGGTCTATAGCTAGGCAAAGGATCCGATTTCACGGCGAGTGTACCTATAATACCTATAATATCCTATAATATTCTATAGTTATATAGATGGTTGTAAAAAGGTTATAAGTTTTGAACCAACTCCAAATACGGGGCCGTTTCTGTAACGATTTGTGTTTTGTATTGATCGAATCATCTGGCAGGATGGTCATTTTGACCCATACCCACTTGGAAGGTCGCCCGAAGCACCTGAGGTTAGTTCCCTACCTACCTACCTACCTACCTACGTACGTACGTACGTACGTACGACATACCTAGTTACATACCCTCATACCCACATACCCACTTTACATTACATTACATTTACATTTACATTTGATTACATTACATTACATTACATTGCATTACATTACATTACATTACATACATATACAATTATAACATTATATATATCTATATATATATATATGTATATATGTATATATATATGTATGTATGTAATGTAATGTAATGTAATGTAATGTAATGTAATATAATGTAATGTAATGTAATGTAATGTAATGTAATGTAATGCAATGTAATGTAATGTAATGTAATGTAATATATATATATATGGGATATTTCCAGTTGTATGGACGCCCAATTCTAGTAGTCAATCTGGACAGTATTTGGGGTTGTAACCCAGCTAGTTTGAATAAGACAATCCAGCGAATCATATTTCGCCAGTGCTTTTCAGTTGATCATCCAAAAAGGATCATCTAATACTGGTACCCTCTGGTGAACTAACATAGCAATGGAAAATCACTATTTTTCATGGGAAAATCCACTATAAATGGCCATTTTCCATTGCTATGTTAGTTCACCAGAGGGTATTTTTAAGTCGTTTTTTAGATCTGAAACCATCCATCACTTTGGGGGTCTCTGTTTGAGCCACATCACAATCGGGTTGGATCCAGCTCCAGGTGCTACAACTACTGCGGAGTACAAGAAACTGATTCAGAACCAGGTGGGCTTCAGTTGTGGGGGGAATCCCCAGACTTCGGGTGAAACTTGAAACATTTCAAGAACATTGCCATTGTGTGATTGTCAATGGGACCATTCATACATGCAGCCTGCAGAATATAGTGGGATTGATAAGTGAATACTGTCACTCCCGGATGAAGAAACCCTGACTTTTACTGTAATTAGGTGGTTACCTCCAAAATAGTTGTCTGAATTACAATATAACTTGGTACCCACCCTATTTACATAAACTAGGGGTTTTGGTTCATCCTGGGTTAGCTTTGGTCATTGAACCCAATGAATTATATATGGTTAATTCCCCATTTCTATCATTTCTCCAATTTACATCACAAGAACAATGCTGATTCCGGAAACAAACACATATTCTGTCACATTAAAATAGCCACTGATGGGCCATTGAATGATGCTGTTCCCAATTTTGACAAGGATAAAGCCTTTGAGCGGCGCTTCGTCATTGTGGAGCTTTCCGAACCCACTGAGGTGGCAGGGAGATGGGATTTTCTGCAGGCTTTTCCGTTGTAAGGGATGATTCCAACCTGAAGAACGTGATTGCCCATCATGGTAGGCCATACTTCGCTGAAGTCCGAAGTTGAGTGAAACCCGTGTCACGTACGCGTGTTGGTATACCAGGTATACCAATACTGCCCAGGAAAGCTGCAATAAATAGGACACCCATCCTGCATGGGGGAGACAACCATGGCGTTTCCGCTCCAACAAACCACGCATTGTGATGTCCGTGGGAGTGGGTTGGGCACGTGCCAAGTCTCGGATCCAGCCATCCGGCACCAGGCAGGGTAACTATTGGGATTCCTATGAGACACGGTAAATAAATGTAAATAATGAGATTATAATGGGATGTTTACCATCTACCAATGTACCAACTGGTGCAGGATTTCTTCCGTCCACAGCATCTAAAGATGCTTTGTGTCTAGATTTACCAGAGTCCTTCGTGCAGATCCTGCTTTGTGGGTGACATCCATATTCGGGTACGGCTCCAAATCCTGGAAAGCAGACGTTCAGGTCAAAATGGTCGATGCAAGTATAGCTAGATGTTTATCCGCCCATCAACCAAATCCTCCGATAGGTATTAATTACTGTATTGATCCGTCCCCATTATTGACAATAATGATGATGATGATGATGAAATTTCCAATAGTGCTTGATTACCGGGTGTTTCCATAGTGGATGCTAACAATCTATATAATTCTCCGAAACATAAGACTCCAAACAACAAGACTCCAAAATGAACAAATCCACTATATATATATATACACATTCCACCAGGGGTTCTAGGGAGGAAATGTTATATACAAGGGGTCAGGATTTCTCCCTGATTGTACACTCTTCAGCCATTTGGGTGTCGAAATTGGACATCCCTAACATTTTATAGTTGGTCATGTATACATGAAAAAAATGTCCGAAATCTGTGGTGCCCCGTATTCTGGGTAGACCTGGGCTTGGTAAGTTAATGGCTCAATGTCTATGGGAAGATAGGCCAGCCGGCCAATTTCCTGCCAATGTCCGTTTTTCAGGTATGTAGCCATTGACCGGTTAGTCTGAAGACAAAGCATGTAGGCAGCAGCTGAAGAGATGCTGATGGCCATGTGTCCAGCCTTTGAGCGTGGCTGCCCAGGGCACCATTCGGTGAACCGCCTCAGGAGTGATTCGGCGAAAATTCGTGTAAGATTCATATTAGTGCTCCATCAGTTGCTCACTTGTGCGTAGTATTGAATGGGGGAGCGGGATGATTGTTGAGAGTTATTATGGGTCATTCCCAAAATTCCCTACTAAGCACCAGTAAGATTGGGATATTGCGCCAACTTTTTGAGATGACACATCGCTGTAAGGATTTCAATGCTATGAGAGGACAGTCATCTCTGTGGATGACTTGCTGCATCATTCTCACCCTTTATTTTTGTAAAGCATGGTGTGGCAGTCTGCGCCCCTTTTTTGAACTCAGATCCCAGCGATTTCCGCCAACTTTAGCTCAGTCAAGGGGACAGAAGGCTGACACGATCGAAGCCTCAAAAGATTTGGCCGTGGCTCCAAGGTCCAATAGGATAGTTCTCAGTGTACCAAAGGAGATGACGTCCGTAAACTCACCTCCAAACACATCGAAGCATTCAACTCGGTGTCTGCTTGTTCCCTTGAGCCACATCCCATCCAACAAATCGCCACATTGACCTTCTGGGTATAGGTCAAAATTGGGTACACCCTTAGATGGTTTTTTTACATAATTTTACTTAATCAACATTTTTCATAAATCTCTGGTTTTGTTTCAAAAAATTGACCCCCAAACATCGCCTTTTAATTTCGTCGCCATGGTTTTGGTCCGCTTCAGCGTGGTCTCCCTGGCCCCTCCCGGTGTCGTCCTGGCCGTGTCCGGCAGCTGCGCGTCGCTGGGAAAATGGAGCTGCGACGCGGCCGTGCCGTTGACGGGGCGCCATGGGGCGAAGCGCCGCAGCACGGAGCCGGACTTCCACAGCGTGGAGCTGGAGATTCCGGAGGCCGAGAGTGACTTGGTTGGAAAAAAAACAATCAAAAAAGATGATTTATGTTGGTTTATTCATGGTTTGTATTGATTTATAATGGTTTATAGATGTTTGTATAGTGACCATACTTGGGATTACCAACTACAATCAGGCTTGCTCCAGCCCATTATAGGTAAATGATAGCACTTTTGGGGGACAAAATCGGTCATGTTTGTATCTACCCAGTTTCCTGTTTAGCATGGGAATTGGGGGACGCGAGTCTCTGACTAGGAATGTAGATAAGATATGGGACGACGGAAAATATCTGACATTTTGTTGGGTGATTAATCACTGGATACGGGGTTGGCTCAAAATGAATATTGAGGGACTTGAGATGATTTGTTGGGCCTGATCCTACAGATGCAACCAAAAAGCAGTCGGGAGATTGACTGCTGTTTACCCTGCCGGGTGAACATCGGGTGTTCGAGTAGCGGTTGACACTCCCAGTGGGTGATCCCCGGTGAGGATTTCACCATTGGACATTCACCTCAAGACATGTTGGCTAGTCGGAATGTAATCTGTACATCCTTGGTGTTTTCATTCCCGTTTCATTTTCCGACCCTATCACGCTGACCTCTATGAATTAATTGTTTTGAGATGGCGCAGCAACGAGGTGAGCTGGTGGAGTACAAATTCTTGGAGCTTGGGGACATCAAATGGGAGGAGGGTCCGGACGGGAAGAATCGCATTTTGAAAGTGGAGGAGAAGGATGTCATTCACCGAGATGATGGAAAAATCCTCCTGCTGCCGGTGGAACGCTGGGAGCCTCATTGGTCTGAGAAAAAGATCACCAGCTACTTCTACAAGGGGGTGACCTGGATTTGCGGAGTTTTTGCTGAGAGTTTTGTTCATAAACCTTATTGAGTAATCCACTATTTGGGGATACTACTGGGAATATCATATGATATATATATAATTATATAGATACATATTTTGGGCTCCAAGAACGCAAATCCAAGGTGACGGAAGGGACGGAAGGGACGGAAGGGACGGAAGGACCAGCAATCTCTGTGACCCAGGTGCTGCATCAGTTGTTTGTGGGTTCGTGCCCTCGACGGCGTTCCCACATCGAGGACTTGAAAAAACGGGGCATCACCACCGTCTTCAACTTTCAAACAGAAGATGACTGCAAGACAAATTGCATCCCAGACATTGGCATGGATAAGAATCCCTTGGCCGTGGGCAAGATTTATGAAGCTGAAGGCATGGAATATATCTGGATGCCAACCTGGGACATGGACACTGCCGGTCGGGCAAATATGTTACCTCAGGCATCCTTTCTTCTCGCCCAGCTTTTGCGCAAGGGTCACAAGGTCTACTGCCACTGCAATGCGGGAGTTGGCCGCAGCACGGCCGCAGTCTGTGGATATCTGACCTTTGCCTTGGGCCTCTCCGTGCGTGAAATGCAACATGTGATGGCCAGCAGTCGCCCCGTGACCGTCTTCAACTTGGGAGCCATTGAGGAGGCGCGGCCGCATTACAAGGCACGCTACGAGGTGGATGCGGAGATGCAGCCAAAGGCCGATTTGAGGTGCCGGGAGGAGGCTCTGGCGCTGCTGAAACCTTTCTGATGGGCTCTGACAGCCTGGGCTTTGCCAGCTGTAAAGATGGCATAACGGCATGTTGTCGGGACAGTTGCACTACTGCCTAGGGAGAAAAAGGGGGAGGGAGTTGCGTGGGCAAAAGGGAGACTTGGAAAGAGTTTTGACCCAAGATGTTTTACATCATCCCAAATAGATCCAAATAGGGGTATGCCCAATAATAAATCCCAATTGGGGATGGTTTATGATTGGGTTTAACTCGGGGTTTTCTGCGCTCTTCCACTCAGCAGTCAATGTATCTCGCAGCTAGGATCGAAACCAGCCGCACCACAGAGCCCAACATCGCCCAGGCAACACCACGGTGTAAAGCTGACCCCGGAGGCCATCGTTGTGGCAGATGTGGGAAGTTTGCTGCATGGAATCAAGCAGCAACAATGGCATCGATGGCGCATAATGCGGTATGGGTCAGAATCTGGCAGAATTTGGATTGTTTGCTGCGAAAAAGGAGAATTACCAAGCCGGCAACACGTACAGTCTGTACTGCAGTTTGTTCATGTTTGTTCAAGATATGATCAATAATTAGTGGCTGATTAGGAGCATCTGTGGGTTGCAGAGAAGAGGTCTGAAAAAAAATTGCCGCGAAAGAATGAAATATTGCCATGCTGAAACTACCCAGCCACAGATTGATAATCGAAGGAAGTTTAGAAGTCAAACTTCCGACAATATGGACAGATGAAAAGCAGAGATGGGAAAAGGTAGGAGAGTCGCGAAACACTGTGTTTTTCCAATGATTTCTGGCTCCGGAGGGTCGAAAAGTAGGCTCGCTAAAGTGGCGGGTGCGGAGCCATCTGGCCAGATGAGAGATGAAACGTTGCACGCCGGTGTGGCGCGAAGCACATTTGGAAGTCAAAATGTACAAAACACACCAACGTCGGACCACTTTTGGAAGTTGAGATGTCGAAAAGGTGCACGCCGTTGTGGCACGAAGCATATTTCGAAGTCAAAATGCACAAAACACACCAACGTCGGACCACTTTCGGAAGTTGAGATGTCGAAAAAGTGCACGCCGTTGTGGTGCGAAGCACATTTCGAAGTCAAAAGTGTAAAAAACTGACGGGTTCGGAGCACTTTTGGACGTTTAGATGTCGTTTTGCGTGGCAGGCGCAAGGGATTCTGCACCTTGTCAAAAGTGAGCAAAACGTGGGGGGTTTGGTAGTGTTTCCTAAAACGATTGCAGGTGTGGGGCATTTGCAGAGGATTTGGCAAGATGTCTTTCGCGTGGCAGGCGCAGTACAAGAGACATGTTCATCAGAGCTGTTCGGAGGTCAGGGCGCTGATTTCCTGAGAGGGGTTGCATTTTGGAGCATCAGATCTTCAGGTTTGCTGAGATGATTTTGCGTGACAGGTGCAGGACTTCGTATGACTTGGCATCACTCTCACGTGGCAGGCGCAGCACTTTAGACACATGGACTGGAAAAATCGCAAAACGCATTGGTACGAGGCCGTCAGCTCTGCACTCAACTTTCCATTTTTGAAGGAAGTCTCGCAGAATTGCTTCCTTTTTGATGTTGTCAACTTGAAAAATCGAGGAAGTCTCGCAGAATAGCTTCGTTTTCAAACTTGCACATAGATAGATGGATAGATAGATAGATAGACAGATAGACAGATAGATAGACAGATAGATACAGACAGACAGACAGACAGACAGACAGACAGACAGATAGATAGATAGATAGACAGATAGACAGATAGACAGATAGGTAGATAGGTAGATAGGTAGATAGGTAGATAGATAAACAGAAAGACACATAGATAAACAGATAGGTATATAGACAGATAGATAGACAACTGCAACTGCACTACACCACTTTACAACTACAACCTCAACTACAACCTCAACTACAACTACAACTACAGTACCACTACAACTGCAACTTCAACTACACTTCAACTACAAGAACTACAGCTACAACCACAACTACAACTTCAACTACACTTCAACTACAACTACAACCTCAACTACGATTACGACAACTACAATTACAAGTGCCACTACAACTACAACTGCAACTACAACTACAACTGCGACAACTACTACAACTACACTACAACTGCAACTGCAGCTACAGCTGCAACTACAACTACAACTTCAGCTACACGACAACTATGCTTCAACTACAAGTTCAACTTCAACTACAGCTACACTACAGCAACAGTTACCACGACACCACACTACAACTACAACTACAGTTACAGCTACAACTACAACTCCTACAAATATTGCAGCTACTACAATTACTACAATCAAGACAATTACAACTTCAACTACGCTTCAACTACACTACAGCTACAATGCTACAACTATACAACCACAACCACAACTACAACAACATTACAACTTCAACAACATCAACCCACTACAACTACAACTACTGCACTACACCACACTACGTCCAGGATTTGTGAGTGAGGTGACCACTGCAACCTGCAGCCACTCCAAACAGCAGAGCTCCAACCTTTCGGTCCGTCAGTGGATTCGCTCTGCCACCCATGCATCACAACATCTCACTCCTCCTATAGTGCGCTATCCTTGAAACTTCCGCCACCGCCTTGTGTGGTACTACTGGTACCAAAGTATTGGATAGCATTGCATATGGGTGTGTGGGTGGATGGACGGACGGATTGATGGATAGGTAGATGGGTAGACAGACAGACATTGTGTATAGTATGCCAAACTCATCCAAACTCTCTATACACATACTGACACTGCACTTTCTAACAGTGGAACCCCAGAAAATCCTTACTTTCAAGGGTCTACACGGACAGCTCTGGTTGCTTCGGGCCCATTCCCAAAACCGGTTGAGTCTTTTCGAGGCGGTACGGGCATCGGTGCGTGGCTCTCGCGCCCTGCGAGGTTGGGGAAACACCCTTCAAGGTTGGTTCATGGATGTACACCAACCAACATTTTGTAGCAGTGATATCCAAGGTTAGGATCTTCATTATTTATTGGGCCAAATCCAGCCTGGGTGCTGCCCTTGCATGCTGCGACAGACTTGGCGTCGGGTTCTGTCTGCATACGGGAGAAAAAACAGTTTGCTTTGCAAGGTAGACACCTCAAGTGGTACATATTTTGGACCCTTGAACGGATCAATTCAATCTACAACTTAAAACAAAGATCCCCATACAGAATAAGTTCCCTTAGATCTCCACCCGCATGTCGGCCGAAGAACCAACTTTGAAATTCTCTGTTTGTATATCCCCAAAAACTCCTAAAGTCCTTCCCTCGGATTTTGATCGAGATTTACAATTCTTTTGATTTTATTTTTTGGAGATCCTGTCGTCCTCGAAGCTCCTCAAGATTCGTTGTTCCAGGCCGCTTCTTGCCCGATCGCGCCCTAGATGTGCTGGATGATGCAGCCACCCTGGCATCCGCACAGGCAGAGGAACTGAACCTAGGGCATCCTAGGGCAATGTCAACCGCAGTTGGAAAATCTGCAGGATCGTTTTTTTCTTTTCTTTTCTCTCTCTCTCTCTCTATATATGTATATGTATATGCATATGTATATGTATATGCATATGTATATGTGTATGTATAGGTATATGTATATGTATATGTATTCATATGTATATGTATATGTATACGCATATGTATATGTATATGTATGTGCATATGTATATGTATATGCATATGTATATGTATATGTATATGTATATGTATATGCATATGTATATGTATATGTATATGCATATGTATATGCATATGCATATGTATATGTATATGTATATGTATATGTATGTGTACATGTAAATGTATATGTATATGTATATGTATATGCATATGTATATGTAAATGTATGTGTATATGTATGTGTATATGTATATGCATATGTATATGTATATGCATATGTATATGTATATGTATATGTATGTATATGCATATGCATATGTATATGTATATGTATATGCATATGTATATATGTATATGCATATGTATATGTATATGTATATGTGTATGTATATGTATGTGTATATGTATATGTATATCTATATCTATATGTATATGTATGTGTATATGTATATGTATATGCATATGCATATGTATATGCATATGCATATGTATATGTATATGTATATGTATATGTATATGCATATGTTTATGTATGCGTATATGTATATGCAAATGTATATGTATATGTATATGCATATGTATATGTAAATGTATATGTATATGCATATGCATATGTATATGCATATGCATATGTATATGTATATGCATATGTATATGTATGCGTATATGTATATGCAAATGTATATGTATATGCATATGTATATGTATATGCATATGTATATGTATATGTATGTGTAAATGTATATGTATATGTATATGCATATGTATATGTAAATGTATATGTATATGTATATGCATATGCATATGTATATGCATATGCATATGTATATGTATATGTATATGTATATGTATATGCATATGTATATGTATGCGTATATGTATATGCAAATGTATATGTATATGCATATGTATATGTATATGTGTATGTATATGTATATGCATATGCATATGCATATGTATATGTGTATGTATATGTATGTGTATATGTATATGCATATGTATAGGTATATGCATTTGTATATGTATATGTATATCTATATGTATATGTACATGTGGGTACTTTAGTTTTTCCTGGAGTTTTTTCTCTTACTTCAATCCGTTGACATGTCAATTATGAGATTTACCACAAACTATATAGAACTGAACTAATGGTTATTGGATGTTACTGGTAAAGTTTGGGATCGATGATGGTTACAATTTTTGTCTTATAACCCATGGGCTGTTCGATTAGGGATTTATGAAATGGTACCACTGTACAATAAGTTATTGCAGGGGTTCATGGAGGGATCAATGGAAGGCGCCCTCATGATTCAAAAGGTTTACCCGCAGAATTTGATGGACCAATTTGTAGATCTGTTTGGCGGTTTGAAGATTTCTCTTTGCACCTCTCCCTAGTAGATGATGATCCCTGATGTCTATTTGTTTAGCAAAGAGTCCGTTCAGATTTGTCCCCATGAATTACTCTTTAAATGCCCTCACACCACAGCATGGGCTCCCCTACCGCTACGCTAACAGATGTGGTATCATGCAATATCAGGTGTATCGTATTGCAATGTATTGTATTGTACAGATATTGTGCACATCTACATGCAATTACAATTGCATTTGCAATGTATCCAAGTAACACCTGATCGTGGCGATCTGATCACGCATTCGACAACCACCATGCTGAAGGGTCCATTATCCCTTGCCTCTGCGCTTAGTTTTGGATCACTAGCCGTGTCACCGGCACAGGCCGATACAAGTGGCGGATTGCCTATCTGCACTGCGGAGCGCAGCCGGGGGGTGAGGAATGCCCCCAGCATGACAAGCTAAGCATTTTCGGGGATTTCCGGTTTCAGATTTTTCAGGCGCAGGTAGTCGGAATTCGGAATGGTTCTTGAACAAATCCTTGCGTTGCCAGAGATTCACCAGGGGAAAACGTTTTGATACAGTCTCTGTGTTCAAAAACGACGTGCCTTTGCACGATTGTTGGGGTTGGCAATGCCTGGCAATGCCCATAGACAATCATAGATGTAGTTTCTCGTTTTTTTTCAATTTTACCTTGTGTGTCAATGGGCCCCGAAAAGATCGATGAATCAGCTTCCAAGACACTCACCTCACATTTTTCAAGGATTTCCCAATGCGGTGACATGGCCGTGCAACAAACTTTCAGATCCCCAACCTAGAGATCTTGGGCCTTTGGCATTTCAAATCCAATTGAACAGTTTTTTTCTCAAACGGCTGGTCGTTAAACATATGGATTGGTGTTGATTATATACTTTGAACAGTATACCGTTTTTCGGATACCCTATTGAACTGGTGTGGAAATCTCCACAGCGTCGTCGGCGAGGAGCACGCCATCGAAGCTGCGAAACAAGTGGCCCTTGGTGCCCGGGGGTATCGAAGTTGTCCCATGCCTGGATAGATGTGATGATGTTCCCATTCTGGCTAATGCTATTTGTTGTTGTTTATACACATGCACTGAACCTCGGTCAAATACAGCGAAGCTTAGTTTTTGAAATCTCGATTTTTGGCCACTTAAACTCCCCTTCTTGAATATTCTTGATCAATTTGCTGAACATCTCGATTTTTCCTACTCATTTCACCCGGTTTTGCTGTGCCACATCTGCCGCATCCTCAGTTCGTGTCGCAGGCGCCGCCAGTTTTCGTGACCGCCTAGCGGCGCGGTTCCAATTGCTGCGCTCACGTCTCTGAGGCACCGAGGGGTTGGGAGGTGGGGAAAAGCCTGGTCCCTGGATGGTACCCAAAAATAGCTGGTCAATGGATGGTTAATGATGGTTATTCCCGAGAAAATATGGTTATCCATGGTTGCTAAGCCAGACATGGATGGCCAACAAAACAGGTGGAATTTACTAAGGAAAATAAACACACTCAAAGTTTAACCAGCAAACATGGAGAGTAGACTGACAACAACATGGCTTTTGTCAACAATCATCGGCAGTAAACTGACCAACATGTCCTTTTTTAAATCAACGCGAATGGATTGTACAGCAACAACATGCAGATCTTACCAAAACAATTTGTTACAGTAGTAAACCAAAAAGCAATCCAGGGTCACCAACAGCATGTAGATGGCTACGATGATATTCATCAGAGCTGATGCCCCAGGGTTTGAAAGACCCCAACGACATCACAATGGGTACAGTGTACAGGAAGTTACCAGTATATAGAAAGTTCAATCATATCCAGAAAAAAACATGGATGGCCAAGAATTGAAAAGGTCTTACGCCAGTGTCATCCTACCAGTGAGGTCTCTCTTATTGATTGAACGCCAGCTGCGGGGAATTTGGAGATCGTTTCAAGATTATTTATCCCGCCTCAGAAGTAGATGGCTCAAGGTCCCTGATATTGAATATTTATACAGCCTGCACCAGCCGAAATCTGCAAGGGTGTGAAGCGTTGGCCAATTTTCGGTCGCTGCAAACAGCAGACCTGACAGAGGCGGTAGATGGTTTCAAGCAATGCTTGAAGGGCCAGAAGGGTGAAGGTCTGCTTCGCAGTGATTATATAAGGGACAATAGTATTGTCTTGGAATCCACTAGTGGAAAGGAAGCACTGATTGCATTCCCAACGCATACCGTTTAAATACTGTAGATTGATTTTCGACAATTCAAGGGACTTGACGGTAGAGCCTGTGGGCATACATGGACTAACATCACACTTGGTACCCTCCGATCATTTCACATAGCTATGGAACACGGACAATTTGTAGACGATTTGCCAATACAACAGGTGGTTTTCAATATGTTCAATTACCGGAGGGTATCTGGGAGGGTATCTGGTAAATGACAGTGGTCCAGAAATCCCTCAAGTATCCATGGTTGTCCTATTTGGGACCGGCTGCCATACTTATCGACTGCGACGTAGCTGGCCTGGCCCGAGGGTGCACCGGTGATCTTTTCCAAAGGCTCACAGCAAGTGGCGAACATTTCATTTGAGCCACGAAAAAAACCTCAATGTATTGTTTATGTAAGGGAGTTATACTACATCACTTTCGCGAAAGAGAAATGCTGGGTCGCGAAAGATCGCGAAAGTAATTTGCTTCGCGAAAGGTCGCGAAAGAGAAGTTTAAGATATTTCAAATTGTTTGTTTTGTTCAGTGGGAATGGACCAGTGGGAAGTTGACACAGGAGGTATAGTGGAAGCCTTGGGTCTCAGCTGTGGGAGTCGGGTGTCGCAGCTCGGGTTGTAAAGTGCGTTGAAGACTGTAGCCAGAGCTCAATTTAGATTAAGAATCTGCACTTGCCACTTTTGGCAGCCGAATTTCGCGAAAGATCCGCGAAAGATCCTCGAAAGAACCGCGAAAGATGCAATGCCCCAAGTCCATCCGTCCACCTGGAAAGCCCCATGTTTCTGGCAGTTTAATTTGACACTCGTGTGTGGTATCGAGCCAAGCAAGCAGCTCCCAAAGTCTAGCTTTGCCGCAGCGAAACAACATCTAGCTCTAGGTTTCAGCGGGCTTTGCTGGCCGCAGACCTGAATCCCCAACATTGCTTTCAGAGCCCTGTCGAAAAGTAGCTGTGGAGCCAAGCAAGCAGCTCCCAAAGTCTAGCTTTGCCGCAACGAAACACCACCTAGCTGAAGGTTTCAGCGGGCCAAGAATCATGTCCACGATTACACGATTTTCCCTTTCACCGCGAAAGGCCCGCGAAAGAGGTTGTTGTAGCAGTGGTTTCGCGAAAGCCGGCATTGTGGCCGCGAAAGTAAAACGAAAGGATTCGCGAAAGACCTTTGTGAGTACAAGAGTTAGGATAGTGTTTTTTTTTCACAGCTCATTTGGGTAGTTTTCTCAGCTCGGCTGCAAAGAACACCATTTCAGGGTAGGCCGGGAACAGCCAGTGTTTTGCAGTTAACATCTGGGTTTTGGACAATTTTGGACATTTGTTCCGACGTCTTTTTATTTCGCCATATTGCAAAGCATTTCTTTCAAGGACTCAACATTTCCTTCATGGATTTGAGGTGCTCCTCCCATGCTCTTGGAGTCTCTGTGTTCTCCTGGACCTGGTCATGTGGAAGAGATGTCAGAGATTACTGTATGGACCTGGACAAATGTGAGGGTATAGACCAGAAAAAAAACAAATCAAATAAATCACTACCAGTACCAGAATATATATACATACAGAGTATATGCCATAGTTTTATGTAAGATAAATGTCAGGGCAAACTACTGATCACAACCAGGTGGACCGTCTCAACCGAGACCCTGTGAGACCATAAGACCCACGAAACTTTTGGGCACAAGTAAAGTGTTGAACCCAAGTTAGATTTTGTTTTTTTGGTTCGCACGGGATGAGTTATGAGCAGTTTATTTGTGAGCTTACAACATGGTTTTCAATTTTATCCTTGATGTCCCTGATTTTCGACCCATCCCTAACGTTGTACTGAAATAGGATGGGACATACCTATGGGCAATCAAATATGTTGTCCCCACAACTACCATAACCAGCCACACCCCCCATAAATATGCCATCATGCCATAAACTATCCACATTCATATGTCATAGATATATATTTCCCATAGATGGCAATCAAACAATTAAATGAATTAATTTCTATTCAAACTATGATTCCCGCAGATTTATACAATCCATGCAGAATCCGGAAAAAACAACAACGAAGCTGTGGTTTGATCTTGCTGGAGCCTCTTCGGTGCACGCTGCAAGGGTCGACCCAGTTTCCAGGGGGTGGAAAATGAAGGGTCGACCTCAAGAAGGGAACAACACACACACAGAGTTTGCTATGGAAAATGGCCCATAGAATTAGTTGATTTACCGATTAAAAATGGTGATTTTCCATAGCTATGTTAAATTACCAGCGGGTATATATATATATTATATTATTATTATTATTACTATTATTATTTATTATTATTATTAATATTGTTATTATTAAAGGGTAAATTATAAAAACGACCTCACTGCGACCGAACCCTGGAATCATGGTGAATGTATAGGGGAATTATCCCAAAATAGCCGAACTATTCAGGTTAGTGAATTATTATAATTTACCCATATATATATATACACAGTTGTACACATTATAACTTTGGATGGAACATCCCATAAGAAAATCCCACAGCAAAATCGCATAGGAAAATGATCCAGGAATAGTGGATATTCCACGATGTTCTATCATATCTTTCTTAGTTTCCTGCAGGATATGGTGTATTTGTAGAGTATGACGAAGTTTCAACATTTTGGGGAGACTTTGTTCAACTTTTGGTTTCCTATGGTTTTGGAAGACAATGTTCTTACTGGATATGATCACTCAAAGATTCCGTGTTGAGTTTCTTGAGGGGGCCATATCTGCTTTCGTTTTCTGCTTTCTTGCGTTTCCCCTGTTCTGGGTTCCCAAAGCCACTGGGTGCTCTATAGTGGGTATTGTCAAAATCAAATACCCCCAAAATGGGTAAGGCCAACATCCCAACCACGATTTTCTGGTTCATTGGGCTGTTGGGTACTGGTTGGGTTTTTATCCATACCGGGTCCATACCCATATGATCAGTTTCCCATATAATAGTTACACAGAATCTAACCGAGAGTAACGGGTCCAACATGAGCATGGTGGAATGACCGCGGCAAGTGGCTACCGAAACTGTCGCGGTGTCGCGCGCGTGTCGCGTGCGAACGGTCTGCCGCACCATGGTGGCTGGTTGGGCAAGCGATCGAGCTGTGCTGTCGAGAGATACATTGCTGCTGAGATTGTACAGTACCTGTTGTATCTTTTGTTGACTTGGGGGAGACATTTCAACGTTTGAGTGCTTAGAATCTGGGCAAGCACTCAGATTTGGGTATAGATCAAACCGGTTGACTCTGGAACTTGTTGATTCCGGTCATTTTTTTTTCCACTGTGCCTATCGTTCAAGGCCTTGGCCGCCATTCATCAACCGTTTCCTGCATTATGATTTCATCTCTGTAATTGCTTCAACTTCTGTATGCGCATATGTGTAACATATTGGATACACATAAATACACAACTATAACATACATATATAATATGATAATATGTATACACATCGTCCACATACATAATATATACTGTATACATACTGTATAGATGTATATACACTGTATTTATATATATATATGTATATATATATATGTATATATATATATGTAGAATATATATATATATGTATAATATATATATATGTATATATATATGTATATATATATATGTAGAATATATATATATATGTATAATATATACACATCATCACTACATGGCCAAGCAACCCAGGCTGGTCCTCATTTTCTTTTGCTTATGTGCGCTGGTGGAGCTTCCAATCTGGACACCTCACATGCGTCAGATCCCTTTACAGAGACTAACCTTTGGCATCTGGGCAGCGAATGGACTGTGTAACCATCTGGATGCTCTGGATGCGCTAGATTCTGGATATTGTGATGGATGGTCACAGCTAATGGCTGTTTAACAAGTTCAATACACAAACTACAAACACTACGGAATGGATAAGCAGCGGTGTTCTAGTTGAATAGCCTAGCACTTGACAAATTCTGGTAGAGGTAGAAAGTCCCCAGAGTGGTTGCAGGAATGGCCACCCCAAAGGACCTTCCCTTGATGGCTGATTCTGAGTAAACTAGGAAAACAGAGCGTCAGGTTTCAGACATATTTTGACTCAGGATGTTAAGATCCGGATTTGACGCTCTTCCAAGGTTTTCCAAGGCTCTTTTGATGGGAGGACTTCAACTGTGGTTCTGAACATGGATCCCCCCAAATTTTTGGGACCATGAGACCTCGATGGCTGAACCACGCTGAGAAAATGGCACGACCGTGGTCCTGACAGAGCTTCTGCTGGACGGGAGCTGATTGAAATTCATGAGTCGTTGATCCAGCTGTGTGAAGGATAGTTTGATATAGTTTGATGACTATATGATATGGCATACGCATATATATATATATATATTGATATGATATGATATGATATGATATGATATGTCGTTCGATAACTTTTCTTAACAATCGATGGCAATATGTCACCCGTCAGTTGGCCATTTTGCAGGGTATCTAAGAGTTGCCATAGCAACAACGACAAAAAGGAACGCCATCAACAACTCCATCCTCCTCACCATCCTCCTATTCATCGTCATCATCGCCATCAGTACCACCAGTGCCATCATCGCCATGAACGCCGTCATCGCCCCACCATCAGTACCATCATTACCGTCATTACCGCCATCGTCATCATCATCATCATCATCATCATCATCATCACCACCACCACCACCATCACCATCATCATCATCATCATCATCATCATCATCATCATCATCGTTACCCTCTCTGTCACCACTGTGATATCATGAACACCAATAAATTAAAGGTGGGTAACCTGAACGTGCGGATATTCCATGGGATATTCGGATACGAAACATAGCTGTTTCATTTTGGTGTGTTCAGACTTCCCCTTCTACATAGTCCAGGCAGTTCCCAGTGATCTTATCCCAGCACCGCTAGGACAATCAGTACGTGCAGAAAGACGAGCAGATCGTTACCACGCCACTACTGGTAGCTCTGTGCGTAGTGGTACCCTTAGGCTGGGAGGGGGGCTGGCATCCGACAATATGGGTGTGTCTGAAAATAGGGTACCCCTAAACCCAATGGTTAATGATCATTATCCCGTTTTTAAATGGCTATTTCATTGGGAATATACCCTATTTTCAGACAAACCCATATGGGAAATCATGTTCTTTTGACAAACCAATCGCTGTTTGGCAGTTTCATTGACATTCCATGGGATGATTGACTTTGAATTGACAGGGGCCTGAATCGGCAAAAGGGATAGCTGTTGAAACAACTTGCCTCCGTTTTCAATGGTTCCCTGGAAAATTTTCAGCAAAAAACCAACTGGCTGTGGGTCAAGAGGGTCAATGGATCCAGAAGATTGGTCATTTCCGGTATTTGAGGTGATCCGGCTGTCTGTTGGTTCTTCGTCTATCAATATTTCGCTGGTTATATTTTGCTGCTGACATTTCTCATTCACAATACAGGTGGTTATATTATGTTATATTCATGTTTGCCACTGTTTTTATTGCTTCAACATCTTCAATAGAATCTTCAATCTCCATGAATAGAATCTTGTACTTCGATGAGCCTCCCAATTGACTAAACTGCACCTCTTCATAGTTCCGAATTTAGAAGCTCGGTCCAAATAGGAAAAGAAGTCTCAAGAAAGGGGACTGCCCAACGATGACGACCATCCACTTCCGCTTCTTGAGATGCTACGAAATTAGTGCTGTTTCTGCTCTCGAACTAGCTGAGGAAAACCAACATCTTAGTTATTGGGGTTGTGATCTTGGTCACCACGTGTGTGTACCCTCTGGTGAACTAACATAGCAATGGAAAATCACCATTTTTAATGGGAAAATCCACTATAAATGGCCATTTTCCATTGCTATGTTAGTTCACCAGAGGGTATATGTTGGATGGAAGATAGCCATCAGTGCTGCCGGGTGGGTCCCTATCGCATTCCCATGGTGGATAACTTCAGCTGCAGTAACATCAGTAGCTGGAGCTAGGTTTTCTCCTGGGAAACCCGTAAATTTTCACCATCTCATTCACAAACACTAAAATTAATATACTAGTTATACATTTGTATTTTTCATTTTAATTAATAATATTACCTGGTGTTCAAATTTGTCAGGCTCCCTGGCTATCGTCTCATGGTTTGACATGAAACCCAGCGACGTGGCTTCTTTCCTGAGCCTCGGCCACATGAAATGTTGGGGATACGGTTGGAATACACCGGGGATATACATTAGTGAGTACATCTTAAGGGATATATTGGGGGATATATAGCCAACCATATTGGGATATGCTGTCTGAACATGGGATATACCCCCAAATGTTCATTTAAGAGGGAAGCTAATGATTAACCAGTGGATTTGGCAAAACAGCATGAAAAACGAAACGGGTGGGGTAGTACTAGTAGTACCCATTGAACACGGGGATATGAATCAACAAATATGAGGATGTACTACTCATCGTATATGGAACCTTTTAGTTCTCCAGTAATTGCGAGGACAGAAAACCAGAAACCAGGAACGATACAGGGCGATGGCCCCAAAAAAGTGACCTGCAAGATTGCATGGCTGCCTACTAAAAGGGAACACATTTGTGGCCCACGTGGCACCCAATGTTTGAACCACATCCAAAATGGATATGCCAATAGTATCTTGATATCTTCGTGACTTTGATTTGTGGGGTTCACGTTCAATTTCAGTTTCAGACATTGGTCAAATTTCCGGGAGATTTCACTGTGTCAATTAGCCAACGACTTGCGTCCTGCCAGGAGGGGCTTCCTAATGGCTTTTGGCTGCGTGTTGCTGACCACGAATTTGATCAAACTCTACGTGTCTTGAACTCTGAGGGAGGGGCAGCTTCTTGATTTTTGATGCATTTTGGTTTGGAACAAACATTGGATGCCTAAGTCGTGGCTGGTCAATACGAAACGGTGGGTTCAAGGGGTGTGAGATTTTGATACCGAACCCGGTATGTACCGCTATCCATTCGGATTCAGAACATGTTTTTCATCCTTCAAACCGTTTCTTGCCATTGAACAACATTCAGGGCTCTTCAGCGGGTGGATTTCAAAGTTGCTGGATGCAATGATGCAGCTAACTAAGCCGCCGGATTGAGCTGCAACTTGATAACGTACCAACGAACAGAAGTTCAAATAGCATCTTCTGGACAGCCATTGGGTCATTTCGGACATTTTCTTTTCATCGCCAGCGGGTATCCTTCAGCTTCCAGCTGTCAGACAGGTAACCAATCTCAAGATTGTAAGGCAGACTCCGGTAATTCAACATAGCTACGGAAAATGGCCAATCTTGTTTGATGATTTACCTACTGAAACGACATTTGAATACATTGAGGGCGGGCCAGACAACAAGGCCCCGGAGGTAGTATGAAACACAAGTTACATCCCTATATTAAAATGTATGTTTAAATAAATTGGATTCCGCATGTTTAAATGGCGGGGTGGGCCAAGGAAAACCTTCATGGAGGTAGTCTAAAATACCAGTTCATACGTATAGAAAGTGGTGATTTTCTGTAGCTATGTTCAACTACCAGAGGGTAAAAGCCACCTTGATGACTTCTCTCCCTCGTAACCTGCGCATGGTCGTCATTTTGCTTGATGGCCATTGGAAAGGCCGTTAATCTTTAGACCAATCTGCAAATTGAGAGTTCTCGCGCTTGAAGTTTGATCCTTGGAGCTCCTTTCCATGGTAGTCTGGAAGTCTGAGTTACATATGTATACACTATGACATATACATATAATTATAATTATAACTATCTATCTATCTATATATATATACATATTCCAGATGTTGCAGATCTTCCAACCAATGGCAATGCTATTCCACTGCTGACCGCTGAGCACCTGCAGTTTGCGACTGAGGTGGGATATTTCAGACCCTATTTTTACGAACAATGCGACTTTGATAGACGCTCAGCTGCACATTGGGGAAGCCTTGGATCAAGATCCCCTTGGGGGAGGTTGTTGCAATGGAAGTGGATCCGATAAACATCGAACATGTAGAAAGACTGATCAAAAGACTTGCCACCTTGAAGCCTTCCTGGTATGTTGAAAAACTTTTTGGGTCAATGAGATGCTTTCATGGTAACCTCCAGTGGACATCAACCATATTAATGTCCATTTACAGGAGATGATTTGCCAGAGATGTGGACCGTGCCAGGTCTTTCAACCCGAGCCATGGTAGACCCGTTGCCTGAGGAAAAACTGGCGAGTGCTTAAAGCGCAGCACGGAAGGCGAGGTTTGAGTGGTAAAGAATAGAGAGGAATCTGGTGGCCCCCCAAAACTGGTCGTCTAACCATCAACAAATATGGTGGGTGAATGGGATTATAATATATAATCCCTTTCCCTTAATATTATATAAACGCCCCCTAGATGGTGCCAATTATGTGGAAATCCCCTACAAGGGTGTTTAGTATGATGGGGAAGGGATTATCATGTCTCCATGTTTGGAAAACTCCAGTTTTTGAAGGAACATCATCTCTACTCTGACAGAAATCAAAGGGTTTCAGGGATCCTAGGTGTCGTATTGATGATCATATATCATATCCCATTTGGGTATCATATGGTAATGGAAAATCGTGGAAATCACCATCAAAAAAATAGGAAATTCACCATACTTCACGTACAAATGGAGCATCGCCCACTGCGCAGTCAATTACCTGAGGGTATGTCCCCTAAGTCAAACTGTCCTTTCCTACTGAGTCACCAGTGTTTCTCATGAAGGTGGTGGTCTCGCAGAATTGGTGGAGAACCACACAATATCAGAACATTTCAAGCTTTGGGTCGTGAAACAGGCATGGTCTTCCGAGTATATTATGTGTATATATATATATTGTATGACTATATATGCATATATGTGTATGAATATATGTATATATAGATACATATGTATATGTATATGTATATGTATATGGATATGTATATGTATATGTATATGTATATGCAAATACATATGCATATGTGTATGTGTATGCGCATGCGTATGGGCATGTGTATGTATATTGTATATCGCATATTGTATATTGTATGTTGTATATTGTATGTTGTATATTGTATGTTGTGTATTGTATGTTGCATGTTGTATATGTAAACATGTATGTATATATATATACAAATAATATATATATATATACATGTATACACATATGTATTTACATCAACATATAATATGTATAATCTATATATTTGCCTTATCCCAATCCCAGAATCCCAGTTGGCCAGGTCGAAAATCCTTCCCTTCTGGTCACGCAAGTTCGTCGCATGGCTGGGTTTTTGTGGCGGGTGCCACTGGTGCCACCCGCAGCCACCAGCAGCCACCAGCAGCCACCAGCAGTTTTAAGGTCCTTTTGTGCGATGCTGTTCACATCGCTCTTCCTGCTTGGGAAGGCGTGGCGGACTTTGGAAAAGTGAGGTGCTTCAGGTGGTATGGTGGTACACAAGTGTTGCAAGATATACCACCATAAAGAGATAATTGAGATAATGGGATAATAATGGGATAATAATTGGATAAACATGGGATAATATGGGATAATGCGGTCCAGAATTTGTGGTATGGATTCTCATCGTATCAGATGATATTACAGTCATCGACAGAATTATGGAAATAAAAAAAAGGTTCGGCGCCGCAGTTAGCAAAAAAGGTTGGGGACCGAAACCAAGACAAAAAATTAGCTAGATTACGGACTTTCAAAAAAAATAATTTTGGAAATAGCAATTTTCAGATCCTGATCCTCTAAAAAAGAAAAAACAAGTGAGACAAATGTCTACAAAAGCCTGTAATCCACGATGCAAAATTAATTTTGGAAATCTTACTTATCGGATCCTGGTCCTCCAAACTACCTGCTTTACAGCGTATTTGCATGTATTTGCATGATTTTGGGACTAAATCCAGATTCAGTTTTGGGACCCTTATCCTCCAAACCACCTGGCTTACAGCAAATTTGCATGATTTTGGGACTAAATCCAGATTCAATTTTGGGATCCTGATCCTCCAAACATCTCTAAACCACCTTGTTTACAGTTTATTTGCATGATCTTGGGACTAAATCTAGATTCAGCTTTCGGACCCTGATCCTCCAAACCAGTTGCTTCGCAGCGTATTTGCATGATCTTGGGACTACAGTAAATCTAGATTCAGCTTTCGGATCTTGATCCTTCAAAAAAAAGGATGAAACAAATGTATACAAATGTCTACAAAAGCCTCTCATCCACGATGCAAAATTAATTTTGGAAATCTTACTTATCGGATCCTGATCCTCCAAACTACCTAGTTTTGAATGTTTTTGCATGATTTTGGGACAAAATCCAGATTCAGTTTTGGGACCCTTATCCTCCAAACCACCTGGCTTACAGCAAATTTGCATGATTTTGGGACTAAATCAAGATTCAATTTTGGGATCCTGATCCTCCAAACATCTCTAAACCACCTTGTTTACAGTTTATTTGCATGATCTTGGGACTAAATCTAGATTCAGCTTTCGGACCCTGATCCTCCAAACCAGTTGCTTTGCAGCGTATTTGCATGATCTTGGGACTACAGTAAATCTAGATTCAGTTTTCGGATCTTGATCCTTCAAAAAAAAGGATGAAACAAATGTATACAAATGTCTACAAAAGCCTCTAATCCACGATGCAAAATTAATTTTGGAAATCTTACTTATCGGGTCCTGATCCTCCAAACTACCTAGTTTTGAATGTTTTTGCATGATTTTGGGACAAAATCCAGATTCAGTTTTGGGACCCTTATCCTCCAAACCACCTGGCTTGCAGCAAATTTGCATGATTTTGGGACTAAATCCAGATTCAATTTTGGGATCCTGATCCTCCAAACATCTCTAAACCACCTTGTTTACAGTTTATTTGCATGATCTTGGGACTAAATCTAGATTCAGCTTTCGGACCCTGATCCTCCAAACCAGTTGCTTCGCAGCGTATTTGCATGATCTTGGGACTACAGTAAATCTAGATTCAGCTTTCGGATCTTGATCCTTCAAAAAAAAGGATGAAACAAATGTATACAAATGTCTACAAAAGCCTCTCATCCACGATGCAAAATTAATTTTGGAAATCTTACTTATCGGATCCTGATCCTCCAAACTATTTTGAATGTTTTTGCATGATTTTGGGACAAAATCCAGATTCAGTTTTGGGACCCTTATCCTCCAAACCACCTGGCTTACAGCAAATTTGCATGATTTTGGGACTAAATCAAGATTCAATTTTGGGATCCTGATCCTCCAAACATCTCTAAACCACCTTGTTTACAGTTTATTTGCATGATCTTGGGACTAAATCTAGATTCAGCTTTCGGACCCTGATCCTCCAAACTAGTTGCTTTGCAGCGTATTTGCATGATCTTGGGACTACAGTAAATCTAGATTCAGTTTTCGGATCTTGATCCTTCAAAAAAAAGGATGAAACAAATGTATACAAATGTCTACAAAAGCCTCTAATCCACGATGCAAAATTAATTTTGGAAATCTTACTTATCGGATCCTGATCCTCCAAACTACCTAGTTTTGAATGTTTTTGCATGATTTTGGGACAAAATCCAGATTCAGTTTTGGGACCCTTATCCTCCAAACCACCTGGCTTACAGCAAATTTGCATGATTTTGGGACTAAATCCAGATTCAATTTTGGGATCCTGATCCTCCAAACATCTCTAAACCACCTTGTTTACAGTTTATTTGCATGATCTTGGGACTAAATCTAGATTCAGCTTTCGGACCCTGATCCTCCAAACCAGTTGCTTTGCAGCGTATTTGCATGATCTTGGGACTACAGTAAATCTAGATTCAGCTTTCGGATCTTGATCCTTCAAAAAAAAGGATGAAACAAATGTATACAAATGTCTACAAAAGCCTCTAATCCACGATGCAAAATTAATTTTGGAAATCTTACTTATCGGATCCTGATCCTCCAAACTACCTAGTTTTGAATGTTTTTGCATGATTTTGGGACAAAATCCAGATTCAGTTTTGGGACCCTTATCCTCCAAACCACCTGGCTTACAGCAAATTTGCATGATTTTGGGACTAAATCCAGATTCAATTTTGGGATCCTGATCCTCCAAACATCTCTAAACCACCTTGTTTACAGTTTATTTGCATGATCTTGGGACTAAATCTAGATTCAGCTTTCGGACCCTGATCCTCCAAACCAGTTGCTTTGCAGCGTATTTGCATGATCTTGGGACTACAGTAAATCTAGATTCAGTTTTCGGATCTTGATCCTTCAAAAAAAAGGATGAAACAAATGTATACAAATGTCTACAAAAGCCTCTAATCCACGATGCAAAATTAATTTTGGAAATCTTACTTATCGGATCCTGATCCTCCAAACTACCTAGTTTTGAATGTTTTTGCATGATTTTGGGACAAAATCCAGATTCAGTTTTGGGACCCTTATCCTCCAAACCACAGCAAGTTTGCATGATTTTGGGACTAAATCCAGATTCAATTTTGGGATCCTGATCCTCCAAACATCTCTAAACCACCTTGTTTACAGTTTATTTGCATGATCTTGGGACTAAATCTAGATTCAGCTTCCGGACCCTGATCCTCCAAACCAGTTGCTTTGCAGCGTATTTGCATGATCTTGGGACTACAGTAAATCTAGATTCAGTTTTCGGATCTTGATCCTTCAAAAAAAAGGATGAAACAAATGTATACAAATGTCTACAAAAGCCTCTCATCCACGATGCAAAATTAATTTTGGAAATCTTACTTATCGGATCCTGATCCTCCAAACTATTTTGAATGTTTTTGCATGATTTTGGGACAAAATCCAGATTCAGTTTTGGGACCCTTATCCTCCAAACCACCTGGCTTACAGCAAATTTGCATGATTTTGGGACTAAATCCAGATTCAATTTTGGGATCCTGATCCTCCAAACATCTCTAAACCACCTTGTTTACAGTTTATTTGCATGATCTTGGGACTAAATCTAGATTCAGCTTTCGGACCCTGATCCTCCAAACCAGTTGCTTTGCAGCGTATTTGCATGATCTTGGGACTACAGTAAATCTAGATTCAGTTTTCGGATCTTGATCCATCAAAAAAAGGATGAAACAAATGTATACAAATGTCTACAAAAGCCTCTCATCCACGATGCAAAATTAATTTTGGAAATCTTACCTATCGGATCCTGATCCTCCAAACTACCTAGTTTTGAATGTTTTTGCATGATTTTGGGACAAAATCCAGATTCAGTTTTGGGACCCTTATCCTCCAAACCACAGCAAATTTGCATGATTTTGGGACTAAATCCAGATTCAGTTTTGGGATCCTGATCCACCAAACATCTCTAAACCACCTTGTTTACAGTTTATTTGCATGATCTTGGGACTAAATCTAGATTCAGCTTCCGGACCCTGATCCTCCAAACCAGTTGCTTTGCAGCGTATTTGCATGATCTTGGGACTACAGTAAATCTAGATTCAGTTTTCGGATCTTGATCCTTCAAAAAAAAGGATGAAACAAATGTATACAAATGTCTACAAAAGCCTCTCATCCACGATGCAAAATTAATTTTGGAAATCTTACTTATCGGATCCTGATCCTCCAAACTACCTAGTTTTGAATGTTTTTGCATGATTTTGGGACAAAATCCAGATTCAGTTTTGGGACCCTTATCCTCCAAACCACCTGGCTTACAGCAAATTTGCATGATTTTGGGACTAAATCCAAGATTCATTTTGGGATCCTGATCCTCCAAACATCTCTAAACCACCTTGTTTACAGTTTATTTGCATGATCTTGGGACTAAATCTAGATTCAGCTTTCGGACCCTGATCCTCCAAACCAGTTGCTTCGCAGCGTATTTGCATGATCTTGGGACTACAGTAAATCTAGATTCAGTTTTCGGATCTTGATCCTTCAAAAAAAGGATGAAACAATGTATACAAATGTCTACAAAAGCCTCTCATCCACGATGCAAAATTAATTTTGGAAATCTTACTTATCGGATCCTGATCCTCCAAACTACCTAGTTTTGAATGTTTTTGCATGATTTTGGGACAAAATCCAGATTCAGTTTTGGGACCCTTATCCTCCAAACCACCTGGCTTACAGCAAATTTGCATGATTTTGGGACTAAATCCAGATTCAATTTTGGGATCCTGATCCTCCAAACATCTCTAAACCACCTTGTTTACAGTTTATTTGCATGATCTTGGGACTAAATCTAGATTCAGCTTTCGGACCCTGATTCTCCAAACCAGTTGCTTCGCAGCGTATTTGCATGATCTTGGGACTACAGTAAATCTAGATTCAGCTTTCGGATCTTGGTCCTTCAAAAAAAAGGATGAAACAAATGTATACAAATGTCTACAAAAGCCTCTAATCCACGATGCAAAATTAATTTTGGAAATCTTACTTATCGGATCCTGATCCTCCAAACTACCTAGTTTTGAATGTTTTTGCATGATTTTGGGACAAAATCCAGATTCAGTTTTGGGACCCTTATCCTCCAAACCACCTGGCTTACAGCAAATTTGCATGATTTTGGGACTAAATCCAGATTCAATTTTGGGATCCTGATCCTCCAAACATCTCTAAACCACCTTGTTTACAGTTTATTTGCATGATCTTGGGACTAAATCTAGATTCAGCTTTCGGACCCTGATCCTCCAAACCAGTTGCTTCGCAGCGTATTTGCATGATCTTGGGACTACAGTAAATCTAGATTCAGCTTTCGGATCTTGATCCTTCAAAAAAAAGGATGAAACAAATGTATACAAATGTCTACAAAAGCCTCTAATCCACGATGCAAAATTAATTTTGGAAATCTTACTTATCGGATCCTGATCCTCCAAACTACCTAGTTTTGAATGTTTTTGCATGATTTTGGGACAAAATCCAGATTCAGTTTTGGGACCCTTATCCTCCAAACCACCTGGCTTACAGCAAATTTGCATGATTTTGGGACTAAATCCAGATTCAATTTTGGGATCCTGATCCTCCAAACATCTCTAAACCACCTTGTTTACAGTTTATTTGCATGATCTTGGGACTAAATCTAGATTCAGCTTTCGGACCCTGATCCTCCAAACCAGTTGCTTCGCAGCGTATTTGCATGATCTTGGGACTACAGTAAATCTAGATTCAGCTTTCGGATCTTGATCCTTCAAAAAAAAGGATGAAACAAATGTATACAAATGTCTACAAAAGCCTCTCATCCACGATGCAAAATTAATTTTGGAAATCTTACTTATCGGATCCTGATCCTCCAAACTACCTAGTTTTGAATGTTTTTGCATGATTTTGGGACAAAATCCAGATTCAGTTTATTATTTTTGATCTCCCACTGATTCTACTGTAGCCATAATCATGCACTGTAGCCATGGCCAAAAGAATTATGGAAACATGTCAATAGAAAAGTTGTCACCCCTTTCAGGAAACAAATAATTATGGAAATGGTCATATGCCAAGAAACACCCTCACATGGAAAAAAAATATATGGAAATTTAACTGCGGCACGTCACGCCCCTTCCAAAAAGGTTCAGATTACAAGATATTACGTAATTTTGATGTGTGCATTTTTATCAGTAAAAAATAATTATGGAAAAATACGGCCCCGGCGCGCCGCAGTTGTTTGCTGGCCCATGCCGAACCTTTTTTCCATTTCCATAATTCTGTCGACGACCATACTATGATCACACTCAATCTTGTGCTGGTCGCTGTTCAGTATAGGCATAGGGCGGCATACGTACATCACCCCCAGTACTGTAGGTTTCCTGGTTTTGGTGTGAGTTTGCTGTCCCCCAAATCTCTCATTTGGTTTGGGCACTTCGGTATACTGTCTCTAACATTCAAACGTGATCAAACGTGTGTATACTGTTTTTGTTTGGTGACGGATGGAAATGTTGGCTGAAACCACCTCAGCCCCTAAACATTTACAACTGGAGCGATAATCCCGAGTCCCACATAAGCCCAGCCATGGGGTGGTTGCAACCCCATTTGCAGGTCTCACAAATGCCTTCCAAGACGTTGCATACCCCTCTAGGCGCGGCCACTGTCGTTGGAGCTTTTTGAGAAATTCGGGGTGGGGAAGCCAGAAATGTGTAAAGGGCTCAAGCTTGATGCTTTGCTTGGTTAATGATTTGTAATCCAACTAAACTACAACGGGGCTTATAGGGTTTTGTACGTGGGCTAGAAGTCCCTTTGTTGCCTTCAGGGTTTGTTGCGGGGCACCGAGTTTTGCGGAACACAGCCCTGGTGCTACGATGAGAGCTATACACATATTCACTGCATGATGTACCACAGAAAAAGGGAAAGGTATATCATCAACTTGCTTTAGAAACCACCTGGGCCCACTCTTCTAAAAAAGGAGGGAAACATCACGCATGATATCCAGGCGCAGTGAAGTGTACCAATGCCCTGATACTGTTGCTTGGCTTCCAAATCTGGCCCTGGGAGGAACTAGGCCTTCTCTATCCCTAAAGAACAGGGGTCACGGGATTTCCAAAGTTTCTTCCATTGGGGAACCCCACATATATATATATACATAGATAGTTATATATATATAAAATTATATATATAATTATAATATATATATATATACACATAACACATGTGATGATTTCCTGCAATACCATCCTAGTTTTGGGCAGCAGAACTTGGAGGATCATCCCGTGGAGGATCATCCATCATGGTGGCAGGGTGTGTCCGAAAATCGGCTCGAAAACCAGTGGTAAAGATTGCATTTTGCTGGGGTATCAATACCCTCTGGTGAACTAACATAGCAATGGAAAATGGCCATAGAAATAGTGGATTTTCCCATTGAAAATGGTGATTTTCCATTGCTATGTTAGTTCACCAGAGGGTATCCCAATATGCTTGGTCCGCTGGGTTATAATAGATCATATCTATGGTACTGGTAATGATATATTTACTATACATGAAATCTATCCCCATCATGACATCCCCGGTATCTCCAATTTTTTTTTCGCCCCCAAAAAAGTCCCCCAATCCTTGGGAGGTTGGCCTTGAGCCCAGTGATGTTGGCCTTCTGGATCGCTGCCTCGAGGGTGCGCGAGAATGACCACCACCCAGCGGATGTGGTCACCGGGGCCTGCATTGGGAGTGCCTGGGAGCCTCGGTAGTCGATGCCGGGAGGGCCCTAAGGGTTGGAGAGAAACCATGGTAGGATGGTTCTTGGTTAGTTGTTTTTCTTTTTGGGAGGTGGATTTGTTTATTCCCTACCTGCTAGGTGAGGATCTCTAGATTTTAACAAAGGTGCAACTCCTTCTCCTCCTAACCCGCCTACTCCGCTATCTTGTGGACCTTCTTCTTCATCTCCTTTGCCCGCTCCGGATGCAGTGGGCCACTCCTGGACCCGAACTCCATATCGCGAGCTCCAGATGCTGTGGGCCACGCCTGGACCCGAACACATGCCAGAGAGAATGCCAGAATAGATGCCAGAAAGAATGTCAGATAGAATGTCAGAGTACTGTATATGCCAGAAAGAATGCCAGAACACACACACATATATATATACATATATATATATACATATATATATATATACATATATATATATATGCAATATGTATATATATATATATATGCAATATATATATATACACTTCCAGATGATATGTCAGAAACCATGTCAGAATAGTGTGTCAGGGCGGGGACCGCTCGAAGTACGGTACTTGCTGCTTTTGGATGGAGGTTGCTGTGTTGTCTTTTTGTTTTCAAGTGATTGTTTGCAGGAGAAGGTAAAGGTGATCAACACGGGTATGTTACCAGCTGTCATGCTGCATGACCTAAAATCTAACATGAATGGTTCGGCAGTCTCAGTTTTGTTTTTCTAATGGTATTGAAGGCGTCATTGTGGCCATAGAGGCGCGTATATATATATATATACATATATTTCTACATTCGCAATGCCCGGGCTTTATCTCTAGTCTATTTAGGCCATTCTTCAGTTGTTCACCATACCCATGGTATCCCGGGGTGAAATGATCTGAGCTAAAATGAACTATTAATTATGTATACTATGATCAAAAATTTGATTGTATACCCATATATAGGGGGATGGCCATCAACCCATTTTCATACAGATATGTATGTATATATATATACATATATATATATACAAACCCATTATCTTTAATGGATTCTCATGAAAAGGGGATTACCAGAAACCGACCAGGCAGTCCTGTGGTACGTTCGCTACTTCACGGCTCTATGGGAGGATCGCCCAGAAGAGAGTTGCCTGGAGCAACGTCCGGTGTTGGGATGTTGTTTTTTTTTCCTTGTCCCTGAAACGATAGGAAAGTAATTCGCAACTATTTTCATCTATTTACATCTATTTAAATCTATTTAAATATATTTTGATTAATTTTAATCTATTTTAATGTATTTTTAATCTATTTTAATCTATCTTAATCTATTTCAATCTATTTCAATCTATTTCAATCTATTTCAATCTATTTCAATCTATTCAATCTATTTTAATCTATTTAAATCTATTTTAATTTATTTTAATCATTTTAATCTATTTTAATCTATTTAAATCTATTTAAATCTATTTTAATCTATTTCAATCTATTTCAATCTATTTAAATCTATTTTAATTTATTTTAGTCTTTTTCAATCTATTTTAATCTAAATCTATTTCAATCTATTTTAATCCATTTCAATCTATTCAAATCTATCTTAATCTATGATAATATATGATAATCTATGATAGTAGGATTTTACTTTATCTATTTGGGGAGGACTGGGATGACTATACCCAAGTTGAAAGTGAATCTAATGATACCTAAAAAATCTTCAGGCAACGGCTGATATTTTGCCCACCTCGATGCGCATGGCTCCGTCCCAATCGTTTCGGGAACTCATTCATAGGGCTCCAAATTTGATTGAATATTGCTCCGATGCAACCTCAGGTTGCTCCCTCACCTTGAGTATTTTTTTTGAGTCAAATGACTTGGAATCAGGCAGTGAAGTGTTTCTAGATTACTATTTAAATCTATTTAACTAATATCCGTTTAATATCCATACATATCCCATATGATCATATGATCCAAATGAGCCCATGATAATTCCATGACGGTCCATGACGGGTCCCCAGGCAGTGAATGCTCCGTGACCATCGAAACCACCAGCCGTGTGGCCTCGGGTGACGAAGATTTGCCCATCACCTCGGCGTGAAAAATCGAAACCAGGCGGGGTGGTCATGGCTTGTTTCACGGAAGGTCACATGGGTTGGTTTCCCAAAACAGTTGACTTATAATGGGTATATACCTTTGAATTCCTATAACATCCTAGAAAACTTTCCACATATTTTTTGGATGAACACAACCATAAACTTTCAACGGAGCTTTCCGAAGTCAGGGGGATACCCGCCTCAGGTTGGGATCACCTCCTGGAGCGGATGTCTCACCACTTTGAACCGATCCCCCATTGGTTCAAAATGACGCGCTGCGTGCGCCATGACGTGGAGATGGTGATCCCCACTATGTCTGGGATGGGTTCAAGGCACCAGAATCTGAGCCTAACTCCGCCAGCTGATGGTTGATGATTCTAGCGTTTGGATTCTGATCCTCCATCACTGGCCAGTTTCCTTTTTGTATTCATTGATATGGTTCCCGATTCTGCTACCTTTGAGTACTGAAGTGTACCACAGATGTTGAATGATCAAACCATCCTAGCGGATCTCGTCGCAGTGGAAGACGGATCCACTTTGGTCGCTGATCAAGCTGCTCAAATGAAGGTTTTGCGCCGAGAAAAAGTGATGAGATCGAAAGAAACCAAAGACACCAGCAGTTCCTCTTGGCCACTCAACAGTGTGAAGATGCCCCATTGAGATCTGTTGAGCATGTTGCTGGAGGTTGATTAGTCCGGATTCACCCTCACAAAAATGGGGATCGACACACCACGCTTTGGGGCGGAACGCGTCAAGTGTTTCCATGGCGAATCGGCCTGAGGGCTGTGCTTTTCAGCGGGTATTGAGCTGAGTCAGATGAAGGATTGAGTTCTTATGTCGATGCTTTCCCCAAACTGGGATTCAATGGATATCACTATCACCTATCCCTGAAAATGGAACTCCGGGCCTTTGGGCTTACCGTATTTCAGAAACAGCCGTGTCTGGGATCATCATCACCTGATATTTTTTGGATGGGTTGAGGCATGTTGGAACCACCAACCAGCTTGGCAGTGCAAAAGCAGGTCGCTACTCAACATATTCATTAACCGGCAGCTACACAGGAGGATGACAATTTGGCGCCGAAGGTAGCCAACGAGGAAGCCAGCGGAAGTTGCAACCCAGGAGCCGGGTAGCAACAATTGACAACGATTGACTATGATTGCACCATTCGAATAGTGGAAGTTGGAAGTCCTACGGCGATTTTTTCAGGAAAAATATATGAACATACTGTACATTGTACATTGACATAAACTACTCCTAAGGTCTCAGGCACCTTTTCAAAGGCACCCGGCTTGAGCCAAGACTAGCATCCCTGCAATGCGGGAAATTTCATCTGGTTCCGCAGGAAAATCGAATCCTTCCAAGCATGACAAGGAGTTCGACTCTCCGGGGAGTGTCCAAATTGTGGTCCAGCGAAACAATCTGGAACCTTCAACAAGTCCTTCTCAACCTCTTTTTTAAACAGCCATCCATCTTGACTCAGGTAAACCAAATTTCGCCAAAGTCCCGTACCCCTAGGGAAAGCTTGGTAAAACCCTCGAGTTCACCGGAGATGGTGGTGGGTCCTTGATCCGAGGTCCCAAAAGGACTATGGCGACGGACCGGCCGCTTGGCGCCATTTTGACGAACCACTAGTTGCGGCCGGTGCTTCAACCCACCATGAATGATTTGCGGAGCAAACATGGGGATATACATACACGATGTACACGTGTATACATACGTATATGCACGCCCAAACACACACACACACATTTATACATACACATATATATATATATAGATACACATGTATATAGATACATACATACTGGTACTACATAGATATTTGAATATTAGACACGCACACACATATATATATATACATACGTATAGTATATCTATATAGATAAGTGGTTCGTGGTCTCATCTGGTATTTTTTCCCTTTCATAGAAGGATGTTTCCAATTGACAAATATTTTTGGGATGGATTGATAGATTTAGATTGAAGCCACTAGCCAGATGATGAGTCACCTTGGTCTACAAGTCCACTCACAGGGCTTGCTCAATGTACAACTGCCTTCATAGCCAGTCTCATACTAACCTCCAAAATGATAGACAACAATTTACACATTTCTACCACTATTTGGAGAATTTCACTTTGTTTTTTTTGGCCATACTTGGCAGCTACGAAGTGAGATGATTTGAGATGATCCTCTAAATAGCAGGTTGATATTTTAGATTGGCCGCGGATGGGTCTTGGATGTCAAGAGAGTCCTCGTCAAACAAATCCAACGGACCTGTATACAGTTCCTACAAGTTTTTCTCAGCCGTTTTCCCGGAACTGATTCTGGAACTGCCCCAGATTTTGCCCCAAAAACTCGGCAATTTTGGTACTTTTTGGCACTTTTTGGCACTTTTTGGTACGAGTTGGCACTGCCAGGAATACTGGGATCTGAGATACAAAGAAGATCCAGCACCTTGGTTGAACCTCTAGGTGCAGGATTTCGCACAGTATGACAAGGGTATGTCATAGCATGCGTTTGGGCGCGCAAACCACAACAGCCTTCTATTTTTGCATTCCGAATGGCAAGGAACCCTTTGAATGGCTTCGCAGCTATTCTGACCTCAAAGACTTTATTTGCTGTGACAAATCTGCAGGTGGGTAGTTGGGTAGCTGAGGACCTCAAGGATGGTAAAAGTACTCTGCAGATCCACCAGTTGAGGGCCTATCTTCTTTGATATGGAAACACATATCCTGGCTTACTGGGAAACGGGCCAATGCATCTTGGCTCCAGGGAATTACAAATTGGATGGTCAAGTTTGGGATGAGTATTTGATCAAACTATATCCCTCTTCTTGTTGGTTTTTATGTCCATTTTGCTTGGTTACATCTCAATGTTTGATGGCTTTATGGAAAATCTGGTTGATTTTACATCGAATTGATCCCATCCCGGAATCAGATGAAGGGAACACCTGCAGAAACCACCCCCTTTTTTTTTTTCCAATGGGAACATATCCTGGTTAATTCCCTAGGTTTTCCCTTCATCCTCCTGCCTTTCCCAACCTTGGCCGCCGTGAACCGTGGCAGATATTCTCCATGTGGGCTGCGGAAATAGTTGCCTCACCGAAGAGATGTAGCTCGGTCAAAGATGTTGAGTAAAGCTTGGTATATACACCCATTAAATCCCATCTATAGACAATATATATATATAGACAATATATATATATATAGATAATATATATATATATATTATATATAGATAATATATATATATATATATTATATTATATATCATATATTATATATCATATATTATATATCATATATTATAATATATATATATTATATTGTACATGATATGTATTATATATTATATATTACGTATTTTATATAATATTAACACATGATTTATATATTATACATATTATATTATACATAATATATATATGATATATATTACTATACATATTATATTATTTAATATATATATAATATAATATATATATATGATATATATATATATAAAATATAATATATATAATATAATATAAAGTATATAATATATGATATATAATACATAATATAATATATAATATATTATATATTATATATAGTGTATGATATATATATATATCAGTTATCATACATAACACACACACACATAAATAAATATATATATATAATAGAAATACACAATACATAATCATATAATTTACACACATATATATATGACATGATATAGTACATAATACATATATAAAATAATGTATATGATATATCATATTACACATAATATATATATATATATATCATAATTTACAATACATAATATAACACACACACATATATATAATATGATATAATGTAAAAATAATGCAATACAACCAACATAACATAGTATAATATACATAATATGATGTAATATTATATTATATAATATGATATAATATAATATAATATGGTATAATATAATAACCATATAATGTAATATTTATTACAATACAATACAATACACACACATGTATATATATATATATGACATAATGTCATATAATATAATACACTATGATATAACATAACATGATATATAGTATAATATAATATAATACAATATAATATAATATAATACAATATAATATAATATAATTAATATAATATAATATAATTAATATAATATAATATAATTAATATAATATAATATAATATAATATAATATACTTTAATATACTATAATGTACTATAATGTAATATAATTAGATAGATAGATAGATAAGATAAGATAAGATAAGATAGGATAGATAGATAGATAGATAGATAGATAGATAAATAGATAGATAGATAGATAGATAGATAGGAACAGCCCCACGACTTGGGACTTACTAGCCAAGGTGGTTAAGCAGGGCCGTGGATCTATCTTCAATATTCTTCAATTTCAGTTCAGGGAATGATGACCCTTTCTCTTCAGTGATCTTCGGTGGACCTTTGTGCTGGGGGAGTAGGTCAAATTGGGTGGGGGGGAATGAAAGATGTACCTGCTCTATCTTGTTCTTTCATTCTTCGCTGGAGGCAGCGTAGTCTCTTTAGGCAATTGCGGGCACCGGATGTGATAACCATGAGCGAATGTGTTCTTTATGTATACATATATGTAACATATATGTACACAGTATACATCTACAACGCCAGATCCCTCATGAGTGAGAGTCACCGCATTTTTCGCAAAAAACTCTTGGATTGGTGTTTTCTCCTGTAGGTACGATGAGGGTTACCGCAACATCATCAACATCGACAATTCCCCAGTGGTCATCACCCAGATGATCGAACGCAACATGGACAGGCAACGGGAGCTTCTGAAGTGACCAAAACATGCATTGTCCTCACTGTTGCTGGTAAAACATGGTAAGACAAAGCATTAATGTTGCCGAAGTCTCCATGGTTTCTTACCTCAATCCGTCCATTTCTAGTGGTTCAGTCGAAATCCCATTGAAACCCACTTTTTGATGTCCAGATTTCCCATGGTTTCCCGTGTTTCAGTGGCCATGAGGCCTGAGATGCTGTGGTTGGAGATGGATGCATTGGTGGGGGCCATGGGATGGTGACGGTCACTGCGATATCAATCCCTCAATCTCCAGAGGTATAAATGGTATTTTTTGGCACCCAGATGTTCTGGGATTATATGGGATCATATGGCCAGATGTTTTCGATCCGCGTCGATCCGCATCGTTCTTGTTTGATCGTGGTAAACTGTGGGTCCACGGGAAGGCCATGCCTTTGCCTTCCAATGCCTTTGATCTTGTCATCGACAAGAGCCTCATGGATACCTTCGCATGTGCAGAGGAGCTTCCGCGAAAACAAAGTTGGTGACAAACAGGGAGTTATACTACCTGGTGTCTTGCATATTGTGGGGATACCTATCAGCACCTATCAAACAACAAGTGTAAGTATAAGCGGACTGGATAGGTGTATTTTGAATGGCTCGCACATCTTGGTAGCTAGGGGGTTTGACTTTTTTTGACTTTGACCATGTCATCCACTCTTCCAGAAGTCCTTGAAAAGGTTCGTGCCGCAGTCTCACTTGGCCATTTGCGGCAGGAAATGCCCTTGACCATCATCACATATTTGATGGAGGCAGGGGGGGAATGTCCGAAAAACATTGTGAACTAGTTTTTGCACCAGCAAACCAAGATTGGAGGCGTCCGAAGCCAAGGTTTTTTGTGGCATACCCCCGAGCAGTGTACGCGAACAGTGTGGGTACGCGAACTAAGACCCCGAAGAGGAGCTTGTCAATATCTAGCCGACCACTATGATACTGTAGGATCTGTAGGATTGTGATTGGTAGTTTCAAGCGGTTTTTAATTTTCAACCATACTTGGGGTTCTGATCCCCAATGACTACGATGATATTCTTGGGATAGTTTGAAACCACCAGTCAGGATTGGGTGGGCGAAGCTCAACATTCATCATTGAAACCATATGCATGCCGCCATAGCCTATACCTGCTGGGCAGGTTGCTACCTGCATTGAGTATGTTCCAGTTGGGAATAGCTCCAAAGCCTACTGTGCCCCATCAACAAACATACTGATTATGAACAAATCAACTTTTGGCACTAAAACTATGATGCTAGAAACATCTCGTGGATCAACACATCCCCTGATTTTATTGCTTTGAGACGCCTCCAAGAAGAGATTTGTTTGGTATTCTTCATTGATCATGGAATCATGGATTGATAGGTTCAGATATTTTCTCCTTCTCAATCTCCATCCTAGAACATTGTTCATTTCCTTTCCATCCACAAAAAACCTCTTCTCTCCACCCCACAGACTTTGACCCAAAATCAATATCTTAATGATCCTTAAATATCCCTAAATCAATCATTTGAAGACTCCCAATCAACTGATCATTATTTTGATAATATATATATATATATATGTATATATATATATATATATATGTATAATATATATATAGTTACGTATAGGTATGTAGTACTTTTTGGATAGCCACATTTCAACCCTTACATTGTTGCATCCTCGTGTGCTGTTTATCTCTGCCTATTTTCCCATTTCATTTGATATGTTAATTATCTACTATCGGGTGCTAAGGAAGGAGCGGAGCTAAGGAGCTATTGTATCCACATTCCCAAACAAGAATGGGAGCTAAGGGGCTATCGTCACAGGATAGTCTATAATTGGTGGACTTTTCAGATAAAGTTGTTAGTTTAATATAGACTATCATGTGACAGTGTGGACACATCATTTACAGACTATCATGCGACTGACTATCATGTTTACACAAGCTAGGAGACTAATCAGGACCAATCTTGATAGTCATCTTTTCCCTCAATTTGCTAGGACTTTTCAGATATAACTATCATGATTGGTCATGATCAATGCGGCTAAGTCACTTGATCCCCCTAAACTATTGTTAGGACTTTTCAGATACCATGAATTATTAATTTGTTGGGTGTCCATTTTATGGGGGTACCTTAGAAATGCCATCCATCTATAGATAATCCATTTATCCATTTTGGGGTATATTCATTTATAATCATTTATATAGATGTTCCATTTATATATAGATATTCCATGAAATAAACACTCCAGCTATTGGGGTCCTTGGAGCCCCAGGTGGCGCGCGTGCTTCGGACGGGTGGCCTCTTCTTGGTGGTCTCCTATGGGGCACCCGCCCAGCGCCTGGCACCTTGACGCAAGTTGGGTAGGGCTGGATGGTTTACAATGGACAAAAAGCTGGGGGTACCCTAAAATGGGTGGTTTATACTGGTAAATACCATCTATAAATGGATGAGTTGTGGTACCTTCCATTTTGGGACACCTCCAAATGTTGGGAAAACGGTGACGAATTAGTTGAACATTGATGGGAGACTTTAGATTTTTAGACGACAAGTTTTCAGTGATTTAAGTGGTGCTTCCGATTCCATCATCCATCATCCATTCGCAACTTCTAGGAGTCTAGGGTAATAGGAGATCACTTCTAGCCTGGTAGATCCAAATCCGAGCCACCTGGTCGCGAAAAGTTGTGGGGGTAGCACCTCTGCCACAAGGATGGTGACCCCATCTTGGTGTAGACGAGTGTTTCAGATTTTTGGCATAATCCCATTTGACTTATGTGGGTTGGGACAGAATCGGATATATCCAAAAAAGCCGATGATAAATCCGCACATGGCCAAAATCTAGGGGTTGGGAGTCAAAGAAATTTGACCCAGCCAACAGTTTGGGAACCACTGGAAGCACCACGCTGACGCCTGAGGATTTCTTGAAGATGTCACACTTGAAGTTCGAGGTTCGTGGCGTTTTTCCTGTGTACCCCCGCCAAAATGGTGATGAGTTGCTACTAAAATGATGCCCCCCCAATTAAACAGTCCGAAGGTTTAGTAATGTTGGTGTGTATCCACAGGAAACTGAGAATGACTATTCACACTGTGCTTGGATGTAGATGTACACAGTCGATGAATTGCTGTATCTCTTTCTCTCTTGACAAATCAGCATCGACATACATGTCACATATGTAATACATAGGTATTGCATACATAAACAGAGATGGATACATATCATATAGATGAATAGATAGATCAATAGATAGACAGGTAGATAGAAGGTCCTTCACATACACACCCACACACACACACCTATTAGCGTAGGACAGTACACACACACACACACGCACACACACACACACACGCACACGCACATACACACAGACACACAGACACACAGACACACAGACACACAGACACACAGACACACAGACACACAGACACACAGACACACAGACACACAGACACACAGACACACAGACACACAGACACACAGACACACAGACACACGGACACACGGACACACGGACACACGGACACACGGACACACAGACACAGAGACACAGAGACACACAGAGACACACAGAGACACAGAGACACACAGAGACACACAGAGACACACAGAGACACACACACACAGAGACACAGAGACACAGACAAACAGACACATAGACACACAGACACACAGAGACACAGAGACACAGACACACAGACAAACAGACACACAGACACACAGACACACA